GCTGCTGTGCTTAGGAAGTGCTCCTTTGATGCAGACCACACCAAGCCGTAGAAATGTGGAAGTGTAAATTAAATAAAAAGAATCCCCCCCCCCTTCTGATTTCCCCCCGCCTCCAGCCAAGCAACCATCACACGGCATTCCTGGAGAAACAATAGGGGATTTGTTTAAACTAAAATGCCAAATGGCTGTGAACTGCAGAATATGTATTTTTAAACAAGTTATTTCCCCCACTGGAACAGGGAGAATTCAGATGTGCATACGGGGTCAGCCGCCAGCAGCACACAGGGCCTGGCTGCTCTCCAGGCCTGTGGCTTACCTGGCCCCGGCTGGGCAGGTGTGATGCGGAGCTGGTTTTCGATGGCATGCTGCAGCACCCAGCCAGCCTTTGCTGGTACGGAGCTTTGCAAGTGCTAGTGCTCACCTGCAAGTATCCACTGCCCTGTAGCCCTCTACTTGGATTTGCCTGTTAAAGTGAAGCTGTCCTCAGGACCCTGCTCTGGAGGTTGACCAATTCCTAGGGAATTCTTGCTGCACTGCCATGCACACAGTGAGCGACCATGAGCTGTGACTCTACCCAGAAAAGGAGCGGAGGCCTCAGCCATGCACTACCACAGCACAATGGGCTTCCCTTAGGCAGGGATCTGTAAAAGCAGAGGGCCTCTGCCACTTTCCCAGCGTCCCAGGGAGGCAACTGGTAGCCTGCACAGAGCACTGGGGTCCCCTTCTCAAGTGGAGGCCGAAGCCACAGTCTCCCCTGGGAATGCTGGCGCTCGAGAGGAAGCCGGCAACCCCAACCCCGTGGCTTCGCCTTTCCCTCCAGCCAGGCTCACCTGCCCTTCCAGAGAACCCCCAGGGCGTCCCCACACTCCAGAGGCCCTCGTATTTTTCCATCGCTCTATTAGGCATCTTTTTCTCATTAATGTACTAACACTCCAGCTATGTGCAGGGAATGATGAAAAAGAGACCTTGTGTGGGGCTTGGGATTTGTTCAAAGCCTGGGGAAACTGTGTTAGAGGCTGTATGTTTTTTATTCCTTTTATGAGAGATGCATGTTTCCCTCCCTCTGTGACTTGTTTAAAAGTAAAGTTTAATATGCTGCCAGAGAAATTGCTGGTTAATAACTTAATAAGCTATGTGCTAGGAATTATGGGAGAAAAGTAGTATCCAAGAAAACTTTTATTGTACAGTTTGGAGTTTGGAGCTTGGAGGATCTATAGCTTCAATTATGATACAGAGTACCAACAGAAGCCCCCTTTCTTTTCAAACTGTGCTTCTCTCTAGAAGCATAAAGAAGGAAAAATAAGTGAGGTGAACGAAAACTTCTGGATATTGCATGAAAAGTCTGTATACAGTATAAGGTGAGACTTTTTTTTTTTTAAGATTTATTGTATTTATTTGCAAGGCAGAGTTGAGAGAGAGAGAGAGAGAGAGACAGAGAGAGAGAGAGAGAGAGAGAGAGAGAGATCTTCCATTCACCGATTCACTCTCTAAATGGGCATAACAGCCAGGACTGGGCCAGGCTGAAGCTAGGAACCAGAACCTTCATCCAGGTCTCTCACGTGAGTGCAGGGGCGCAGAGACTTGGGACATTCTCAGCTACTTTCCCAGGCACATTAGCAGGGAGGTGGATTGGAAGTGGAGCAGCTGGGACTCAAACCAGTGCCCATATGGGATACCGGTGCTGCAGGCTGTGGCTTTACCCATTACGCCACAGTGCCGGTCCCCAAGGTGAGAATTTCTAGCAGCACAGTCAACAGACCCGTGACCTTGTGAACAGGGCAGAGCACACACTTGAAAATTAGCCTTGGCAAGGGTAATAACAATATCAACTGAATTGCATTAAAAGTTTTATCTTCAAAAATATTCCCATTTCTTTTTATCTTAACAAAATTCTTCAGAAGGAAGAAAAATAGGCATTATTATTCTCACTTTTACAAATCAACAAAGTTGCTCATATAGCTCAAGTGACCCACCCAAGATTAGGGCAAGAACCAAGAATAGAATCAAGGTTTTGTAGAGAAACAAATTGTATCTATGTGTCCCAAACACAATCAGATGAAAAATGAGACACTCTGCCAAGCAATTGGAGTATTTTGGTTTGCAACCACATGTGCTGGTGCTATGTCCTAGTTGCCTGTCTGGGGAGAAGCAGGGCTCCAGGCACAGCTGTTTCTGTGAGGTCCAACAAGAGGCATTATTTCTAGCATGCCCAGCTATGTTGAGCAGGACTTAATTACTGGCCATCGGTACATTTCCTGTATCTCTTTAGCTCTTCTCATGCCCTCCTCACTCTCATCTCTCTCACACTCCCATTACAGATCAAAACTGAGGCCTACAGGAATTACAGGCCGCGCCAGGCTGGCCAGTGGCTGAGCGGGGGGGACCAGACCAAGCCTGCCAACCTTGAGTAGGTGCTGCCTCGCCTCAGCTTCTGGGCAGTGTGCTTTTAGGCTGGGGGCTTTCTGTTCACCAAGCAGTTCTGGAAGTGACACTCCCTGTGGTCACTCAGGAACACAAGGGCTGACGCAGGCCCCTCTGGTTCTGGGAGTACTGGCGTGAGCCCGTTCGTTCCCTTGAGCGGGAAGGTGTTCTGCCCAGAGGCCTGCAGGCCATTCCAATCAGCGAGGAGAGAACAGTGAGCCTTTTGGGCCCCTCCCAGAGCTGCTCCCTTGGCCACTTCACTAAAGCCAGGCTGCGCTCCCCACAAGCCCTCTTGGAGGCAGCCTAAAGCCTGGCTAGAGAGGACAGAGTAGGCCTGAATCTGCTCAGTAGGGCAGAGCAGTGCTTGCGCCAGGTCTGCGTGTTGCCAGAGGCCTGTGGTCACAGCTACTGACTTCAGTTAAAGGTACTGTCTCCAGGGGCCAGTGCTGTGGCGCAGCGGGTAAAGCCACCACCTGTAGTGCCGGCATCTCATACAGGTGCCAGTTCGAGTCCTGGCTGCTCCACTTCCTCTTCAGCTCTCTACTATGACCTGGGAAAGCAGTAGAAGATGGCCCAAGTCCTTGGGCCCCTGCACCCACATGGGAAACCCGGAAGAAGCTCCTGGCTCCCAGCTTTGGATGTGCGCAACTCCGGCCACTGTGGACAGTTGTGGAATGAACCAGTGGATAGAAGACCTCTTTCTCTCACTCTCTCTGCCTCTCCTCTCTCTGTGTAATTCTGACTTTCAAGTAAATAAATCAATCTTAAAAAAAAAAAAAAAGGTACTGTCGCCAAAAGATCACTACTGAAAAATAGTTTTCTGACCAGGAGAATAAGCTAATTTACATATTAGAATGTAGGCCATGTTAGCATGACTTGTTGGGTAGGGTTGGGTGGCAGCCAGCCAACTGAGAATGGATTTCGGAGGAAAGGAGACCTAGAACAGCTGTTTTGGTGGCAAGAAGGTCTGCAGCTTGGGGCCCCTTCCAGAGAGAGCAGCTTCTGAGAGGTCTCCGGGCTGCCCGTGCATGGGGTTATAGGATTTTCTACGATGATCAAACAGCAAGAGGGAAGGAGAGGAAAATCAAACTTGCTCTTTATGTCCCTACCTTCAAGCACCTTCTGAGTCAGCTCTATCTGTCAAGTAGAGAAGCTGTCTGCCCGCTTGTGTGTGACTTCTTCCAAAATGTCAGTTTGGATTAGATCTCTCTTTTGAAACAGGCAGTCAGGGTGCTTCTCTTATTCCCTTCTGGGGCTCCCAATAGGAGGAAAGCCACGCAGGTGAACTCCAGGCCCCATTCCAGTTTGAACCATTTTTGCCACCCCTACAATCTTCAACCTCTCAAATTTCTATGCGCGCTCCTGTTCGAAGAAAGAATTACACTGGACTAGACGATCTCTCAATTCCTTTTCCTGGTATAAATTTTGTGATTCTTTAGCCCTGTTAGCAGCGTTAGAAAGACAAAAGCCATGTGGTCTCAAGGGCACACAAGTATTTCTGTTCTCATTACTAGCAGCCCAGGCAGGCCATGGGGCTTCCAGGTGACGGGCACAGGTAGCTGGAGGATTACTACTAAGGATGCTTTTTGTACCACCAGGAGAGACTGGGAATTTTGTTGACCACTGCAAGAGCCTGGAAAGATTCAAAACATTCCTCACTGTATTTCAAGTGCATACCGACAGCAGCCAACTTACCAGTGTTGGTCTGAGCTTACCAACTTCCTCTTAATTCTTGGATCAAGTGCATATTTCTCTGGCTGACATTTACGGGTTTCCAAAACTGGTCTCTTATCAAATCTTGTACTTCTCAAAACACAGCCTCTCTTCTTCATTCTATCTCTCTGCTAGCCCACATACACCACATGCATGCCTGGCAACTGCCATTGCACATGTGTCCACCCTCCTGGCATGCTTTTTTCCCATCACTGCTGGAGTCCCCAAATCATACCCCGGCTCTAAGGTTCATCTCAGATACTTCTGCAAAGCTTTCTCTGACTATCCCAGTCCACATTCTTCTTTGAATTCTCGGACTTATTATATGTACTTCTACATGTGCTTCATGGTTGGCCATTTCATATGCCTAAGTTCTCTCTTTTCAGTTAGAATGGACCATAACTAAACTCTGAGAACTGAGGCCCTTTTCTGTATATCCAAGACACTTGCCACCATGCTGAGCAATGTACTGATTCTTTCTTTGTACTTGGCCAATGAGACTATCACAACTCACTTAGCAACAAAGGCTCCACACCAGCATCAACTCGCTCATTCTCCAACCTAAGAAGTAATTAAACCTCACTCAGCCTTTAACTATTCCTCCCTCCTTCTTCCCTGATACCCCAACAAGGTACCCCTACAAGCTGGCATTTCTTTCTCTCTTCTCAGCTCCTGTTACACACTTTGATTAATTCCAGAATTTACCAAACTCTTCGTTATAGTAAATTAAATCCATACCTGTGTCTTTCTCAAATGGTTTTTGAAACAGAGACATCATTAATTTTTATATTTCCCATTGTGCCTACTACATTGCCTTGCAGTGTTTGTGAATCTGAAGTTACTTTAATTAACTGGGAATGGCTCAGTGAAGGAAATGAAGCTGTTGATTCATCCAAAACATGGAACATGTTACATGCTAAAAGGAAAAAACAACCCCCGACGTTAGGGCTTCTCATAATATTATGGGAACGTGCTGAGCAGACGGAAGCCTGCGTTCCTTTGCAAGCGAGGCAATGGCAGTGTCGCCCAGTCTTCCAACAGCAACACACCAGTGCGCCATCAGCCGCAAGGAAAGCAAAACAGGCGTTTCTGAGCCCTCTATTGAGCTAATTACCGTCTCCAGGTCAGTTTTGAAAATTTCCATATTGAAAAAGTAGAAGGCACCAGCAGTTTGGGGTTAAATTCTTGGTGTGCAAGTTGGGTAAAAGGACTATTTTTATTTCTTGCTGCAACATGAAGAAGCTTTGATCTTGGGCACCTTGTTCAAAGGCTCAGCCTAATATATTGATCACTTCTGACTGCTTTTACACAGGCTAGTTTCCCTAAGCTCAGCCTGTCAACAAGCAATACATATATTTTCAAACTTCACTTCAATCTCAAATAGCTTATTCCTTTAAAACTTGAGGCTGTATTTTTAAAAGGAATATTTGATGAAGAAAATGTTTTGCACCTTGTTTGATTGGTTTGGGTTGAAATGTGATAACTTAATTTTTTTTCTGTTTTTAAAAAAACATAAACAGGATCTCATCCTGAGATATCATGACCTTAAACATTCCTGAGAAGTCTGAAAGAGAAGCAAGTAAGTGTCAACAAACTTGGGTCTAAAATACTCCAACTTCATTTCTCTCATCTTTTGAATCTGCTTGAGGCTCAAAGTGACTTGAACAGGCTGAGCTGGAGGACAAAAGGGAGGGTCCTAATGAGAACCCCCCTCTCCCCCTTGCCCCCTCAAAATTAAAAGAGACAGAGAGAGAGGCAAAGAAGAAACAAACAAAAATGCAAAACACAACACCCAGCGAGGTCTGGAAACCTGCTATGTGACTAACCAGCCCTGTTAAGACTTGCCTCCTGTACAGTTTTGGCAGGGACCACAAATGATACCCTTGAAATGCCACATGATCATTTGAATATTTTAACAATCCTTCTGGACTGGATTCATTTCAGAGGCATGGAAGTGAGACAGCAACCTGCAGCTGTGGCAGAGAGCTGAGGTCTCTTATTATTTCAAGTCATTGCGAAAGAATGGCCTCTTTCTTGGGGAAGGGGCCCATCCGGAAGGCACAAGGGATTTGAGAGGGGGCTAAGGGACAGTGGGAAAACAGAATCAGACCTAAACCCCAGCATTTCTGCCTGGGAAGTAGAGTCTCTTGTGTGAATAAATCTGGTGGTTAGAAAATAAATGCTGCCTTCAGCCGTTGTAAAGCAAAACAGAATTCTAAACCAGAACTCCTGCAGCAGGCCACAGATCCCGCCCCCAGGGAAGAACTGGGATTGCCACACAAAAGTAAGGCTCAGCTTTGTCTCTATAAGCACATTTTCCTTGCACATTTAAGTCCATAGACCCTCAAGGAGCACACCACTCAGCCTAGTGGGGACCAGTAAGCAAGAGAAAAGGGAGAAGTGACAAGAGTGCGGATAACAGGGTGGCTGGGGAGGAGACAGGGACATGGTTGGAAGTAAACACACCAGGGAGGCAGAGGAGGAGTGAAAGCACACAAGGGGTGGAAGGGGTGCGAGGGGAGGGAAGGGGAAATGGTACAGGCAAGTGGATGGCTCACACAGTTACTTTTTTGCAAATTAAAATCAACTTGAGGAAGCAAATCACTGGATGTTATACATGATACTCAGAGTAGGTCTTCAACAAACATCAGCATTGGTCACCATCTCTCTCATTAGCACTATTTTACTCAAAAGTTTATGCCCAAGGTTGCTTTCCTAGTAACCTTAGGACCTATTCCTGTATTCTTGAGAGCCTGTTTTTCTCACCAGAATATCAGACTGCTGTTTTTCAAAATGATAAATACCCGATGCATGCCAATAAACCAGACACTGACGCCACCAGGCTGGCTGCCTGGGCAAGGGAGTGAAGACTTCCCCTAGTGAGCCTCGTGGCCACCAGCGCTTCACACAGGTCATCCAGGGTAGATGGGGAGAGGATTCTGGGTTGAACCCTTCGGTAGTCTCAGCCCTACTGTATAGCTCTAAGCTTTGGCCAGAAGTCCTTAAGTATGAAGGTGTGAGAGTGGCAGTTCTTCTAACTGGGCTGGATGGACACAGGGGCTGACTCTCTGGCCCTTGCTCCTCAAAATGTGTCTTCTGTTTCAGGCCCAGTAGGATCTCAGCTCTACCCCAGGCCCAGAGAACCAGAGTCTTCATCTTCGGGCGGCACACTTTCTATCTTAGAAGCACTGTTCCAGAGATTGCTTAAGTTACCACCTTTCAAAACTCTGACATAAAAACCTTGGACAGATGGAGGCAGTGTGGTCCAGTAGAAAGTGCCTGACAAGAAGCTGGGAGCTAGGTCCTCAAGAAACGCTAGTAACTGTCAGCTGGGATCTTACTTCTGCCCAGCTGTAGCTATGTAGAATGGACAAATCCTCTAGCCTCTCTGAACTGAAGCTTCCCCTGTGTGTGGGAGTGAGACTGGGAGTGGACAATAAAACTTCATCGTTCTTTCCAATTCTAAATCCTACGTCTATGATTCTATTTGATAAGACTGCTTTGTTGTCCCCTTGACACTGAAATTGTGGTTTGAACAAATAGTTACTACTCTGGCATATGTAGTGCCCAATAAATATTTGCTGGATGAAATGATGAAGGTATAATCTGTTCTAAGCCTCTTCTCAAGAAATGAAACTGTGTCATGAGCTTCCAGGATAAGCAACCAGAGCCTAAAGGGCACTTGTGAGGGGACTGATAGAATTTAAAATATCTAAATTAGACATTCTGGGGTGAGGCTTTAAAACCCGAGGATTCTGCTTTGTAGTAATGAGCACGAACTATTCCCTCCTGGAGTGAAACCTCCCATCCATCAGTACGGTACTTAACAAGTGCTAATACCAAGAGCCACTAACTCCTGCTTCCCTGGCGATGGGCAGGTAACCTCATGAGAGACGCACTGGGTGGGGACAGTGGTGAACCCCAGTGAACACCCTCCATCAAGACAGAACAGCCACTTCGGGCACTGGTCCACTGCAGCCATGTGGCAATTTGGGCCTGGTGCTACCAGGTTTTCTAAAAAGGAGCTCAAAATCTTGGCTTACTATAATTTTTTCAAAAAACTTTAAAACTTGCAGAATTCCAACAAGTCAGGTCTGTGGCCAAATTGATGGGAATGCACTGTCAGTCTGAGCCCTGTGGTTGAGGGTGCACAGTAAGCCAGGGCCTCAGCGGCAGCCAGAGCAATACCCAGAGGATACTCCTTATTAAACAGCCGAGATGACCCAGTGCTGAGGGATGGCATTTCTGTGCTGTAGGCACAACTAGCTGAGACACACTACACTGGCATGACTTGTTTGTTAATTCATGCGAGCTGAAATGATAACTAAACCAGGTGTCTTATATACTGGGTGTCTCCCTGTTGTTTGCACTGTAGAAAACCACATTTCCTTACACGACAGGAGATTTGAGAAGAGCTCATGAAAGAACATTCATAAATCTCTCCCATACAGAACTTGGTACAGAGCAGGCATTCAAAAAGTAAGTTTCCTTAATCTAATTTTTAAAATCTCAGTTAAAATTTTGGAGGTAGTTTCCTGTGCACTGCTGTTGGGAAGATGAACTGACAGGCCCCTTTTGGAAAACAATCTGGGGTCTATCAAAACCTTTAAACATCGTTATATCCTCTTGATCAATTTAGTCGACTCCTGGCAATCAAAGCTAAGGTAATAACCCACAATCACACACACTGATATGAGAGTACTTCAAAAAGTCTGTGGAGGGGCCAGTGCTGTGGGTAAAAGCTGCTGCCTGCAGTACTGGCATCCATATGGGTGCTGGTTCGAGTCCTGGCTGCTCCACTTCTGATCCAGTTCTCTGCTATGACCTGGGAAAGCAGTGGAAGATGGCCCAAGTCCTTGGGCCCCTGTATCTGCATGGAAGATATGTAGGAGGCTCCTGGTTTTGGGCTGGCTTAGTTCTGACTGTTATGGCCATTTGGGGAATGAACCAGCAAATGGAAAACCTTTCTCTCTCTCTCTCTCTCTGCCTCTGCTTTTCAAATAAGTAAATAAATCTTTTTAAAAAAAGTCTGTGAAACATGAAACTAAAGATAAGTTTGCCCATGAACATAAGTGGATCTTCAAAGAGTTCACAGAAAATGCATACCATCAAAAAACTATGCACAGATTTTAAAATTTTTGGTACCAAAATAAACTTATCTTTTTCTTAAAAAAAGAGATTTGTTTATTTATTTATTTGAAAGTCAGAAATACAGAGAGAGAGAGACACACAGACAGACAGACAGATAGATCTTCTACCTGCTGGTTCATTCCCCAAATGGCTGTAACAGCTGCGGCTGGGTCAGGTGGAAGCCAGGAGCCAGGAGGTTCTTCTGGGTCTCCCACCTGGGTGCAGGGGCCATCTTTTGCTGCTTTCCCAGGTGCATTAGCAGGGTGTTGGATTGGAAGTGGAGCAGCTGTGACTTGAACTGGCATCCTTATGGGATGCTGGCACTGCAGACAGTGGCCTAATACACTGAGCCATAGTGCTGGCCCCTAAACTTGTATATAATTCCATTTTCCTTGAACTTTCTGAAGTATCCTTGTGTATACACACACATACACTCACACACACACACAAACATACACACAATTGCACAGAAAGATTTTTACTGGAACATTATTCAGGACACTAAAAATGAGGAAAAACCTGAATGATGAACAATAGATCAGTAACTAGGTAAAAAAAAAATGACGATTATTCAGATGTCAAAAATATACTACCTTCAAGAAACGATATTCTCAAAGTTTATGTGTAATTCAGAAACAGGCAGGGGTATTTTTGGTTTAGAGATGCACGGGTGGTAAAACTAGGAAGAAAACAAAGAATTGTCATAAAAAAGACAATAATCTCAAAGGAGTGATAGTGTACAAAGTTTTCTGTTTTAAATATTTGTCATTAATCTTTTTAAAAAATTGGGCTATATATATATATAAGTTACTGTCTTAACCATTTTAAAGTGTGCAGTTTAGTTATGTTAAGCACATGTTCAGAGTTGTGCAATCAATCTTGAGAACTTTTTCATTTTACAATACTGAAACTCCATACTTGCCCCCTACAACCGCCCTGTCCTGGCAACCGACAGTCTACTCTGACTAAGAATCTGAAAGCTCTGGGTACCTTCTGCAGAAAACATGAACCCGCACTTGTTCTTCCGTGATTGTTTCATCTCACTTAGCACAACTGTCCTCAGGATTCCTCCACGTCGTAGCCTGTGTCGGAACTTCCTTGTCCACTCATCATCCACTCACTTGGTGTTTCCACGTGTGAGCCATTGTGAATAATGCAGCTATGAATATGGTCATACAAATAGCCCTTTGAGGCTGCGCTAATTCTTTTGAGCATGTACCCAGAAATGGAGCTACTAGATTCTATAGTAATTTTATTCTCATATTTTTGAGGAAACACCATACTGTTTTCAACAGCAGCCATGTCACAGCTTTTAATGTAATAGGTAATGCTTTTTTGACTGCCATGTGAAAGAAGGAAACTCTAACACATACACAGAATTATTCTATGTAAAAAAACACTCATAGGAAAAAGATGAAGTAACTACATGAAACCATTAAACAATAGTGGTTTCCAAAACAAAAAGTGGTTTCCACTAGATTGTGGGAAGAGTAGACTTTTATTCTCTTCTTTCTCAAGTTTTGTAGTTTATTTACTTTTTTTAAAAGATTTATTTGAAAGGCAGAGTTACAGAGAGGCAGAGAGAGAGAGAGAGAGAGAGAGAGAGAGAGAGAAGTGTTCTATCCACTGGTTCACTCCCCAGATGGCCTAAATCGCTAGAGCTGCGCCAATCTGAAGCCAGGAACCAGGAGCTTCCTCTGGGTCCCCCACAAGGCTGCAGGGGCCCAAGGACCTGGGCCATCTTCCACTGCTTTCATAGGCCACAGCAGAGAGCTGGATTGGAAGTGGAGCAGCCAGGTCTGGAACTGGTGCCCATATGGGATGTCAGCACTGCAGGCGGCAGCCTTACCCACTACGCCACAGCGTGAGTTCCAATTTGATCATTTTCTATTATAAGCATACATTTCAGTGACAATAAGTGAAGAAAACTTCAGAAGGACACATTTTTCTTTCTGGTCATCATTTCTCTGTTATATTCAGTCCAAATAATACACTGAACTCATTGTGCTTATTAAAAGGACTACACATGTAGCACACACATGCACACATACACGGGTACATACGCTTATTTTTCTTCCTCTTATAATAAAAGGACATACCAATAAACAAATTAATTTCTGAAAAAATTTAGGATTCTAATAGTAATTGCAACTCTCAACCAAAGGTACATCTTTTCTCCTCTTAGTCCTACTTGCCAGGCTTCTAAAAGCCCTTCCTGTTCAGGCAGGGCCTGTGCCCACTGTCCCAGCTGGGATCTGCAAACAGCAAGAACAATGGCGGGCATGCAATCCCAGCCTGAGGCTGCTCCTCCTTCACGGTGCCCACAGGCAGCCTGTCCAGGCCAGCGGCTGATCCCCATCCTCGGTGGGTTCCTGGCCTGGGTCAGCAGCTTAGCTTCCCTTCAGTAGTTGGTAAACTGCCTTAGCACCATGAGAGACAGCGACCTGCACTGAGGAGGGAGGGTGGAGGAAAAAGGGGAAGGAAGGGACTTGAAGGATTAATGAGCTGATTTCCATAAAGGCTCTGACATCTTGGAATGAAAAGCAGCCTGCAAGAGCAGAGAGCCCAGTCCTTTACTCAGGCCATGTTGCCAGCTGGCTGTTCATCACCAAAATTCCCCAGGAACTCCATGGCTATTGCTAAACCACCTCGTATAAATCCTTATTAATCTTGCAAAGTCAAAACACAAATATAGGACAAAAGTCTTTATTTTATGTGCCCTCAATTTTAGGGTCAAAATTTAAAAACTGAATTGGTTATCCAATGACTTCCAATGAATTTTTTTTTTTTAATTTGGAACAAAAGGACAAATAAATGACACATTCACTAACTTTTTTGTACTTATTCGACTCAGCTCAGGCTATTGATCAAATAAATTATAGAAGAAAAAAGGCATTGGTTCTAAAATTTAAACCGACTTTTTTTTGCAAGAGCATTCATTTTTCATAGCTTATACTCAAAAGATACAGAAAATCCTTAGTAAGCTCAAAGGAATATTTATTCCTCTTTCATGTGTAAATTATGAGGGATATAAAGGAGCCTCTTCAGCAGTTGAATTTGGAATACTCTGCATCCTAACATCTCTTGGAGAGCCAGGTGAGAAAGTGAAGGCAGGGTCTGCTTTGAGAAGGGACCACAAGGATTCATCTGAGCACGGAATGACCCAGTGTAGACAAACACCTCTCAGCAGGAGGATCTCAGGGGCAGGGCAGGGCGGTTCTGCAATTTCCTATTCAGGAACTGAAGGCTACCCTGTCGATGATGTGGATAATATAGAAAACCTGACACAAAGCTTTGGAATGCACTGTGCTCTGGCAGCATGTTTTCCTTCCAAACTCTATTCCAGGCTCAGAACACATCCTGATTAATACTTGTAAAAGTGTTTTGGGGAGCAAGAGGAAACCTGGTGTTAGGAACCATCCATCCACAGACCACCCATGAAGCGGAACATTCACACTTGGATAATAGAGAGTTGACTGTACTGGAAACAGAGAAGTGGTTTTCTTGGACTCCGGGCTAGGAAGACAGAAACCCAGTGAATTGCAATGATTCATGCCTTTGTTTTCTAGGGCTGAAAAATCATGGAGAAAACTCAGAGAAGGGCAGTGAGGAGGGGGGGCGGGGAAGACTGATGATGAAAAGCAACAGGAACCACAGGGGAAGGCTTAAAAAGGCCAAGAGGACTTCTCCAGCTGAGGAGGACACCATCGCCAGGCGGCGTACAACACGGAGGTCCACTCGACAGCTGGCCTGTCACTCCCACCCAAGAGGAATGAATGGATCGGGAAGCCGGTGGTAATGCTTTCCACGAGACCCATGAAGGAGCAGCAAGCTAAAGGGCAGCCACTTCCTCCTTGTGGCAGTGTAGGATTCCCGGGGCAGGGTCAACAGGGTGATTTCTGGACAGTCCCAACTTCTGGTCCCCAGAAACAATAGCTAGACCTGACTATTGGCAGATAAACTGGTAAATGTACAAATGTGGCCACAAGTCCTCCCTGTTCATCCAGGACACATGTCCCAGGGTGGCTGTCTAAGCACCCAGCAGAAGGCAAAAGGTTTGAGGGTTAGGGAAATGGTTTATGGTCAAGCAACTTCTATTTTCAAATAAAATGGAGAAAACAAAAAGTGGATTAAAAATGAGAAGTACATTAGCTTTTTCAGCATTTTAGACACTACAGAATTTTCCCATCGGGGAGTTGTCCAAAGCTACTGGTACTGAGACAATCATTGAGACACCCATACCCACCAGTGGGAACTTGCACTGGCTGCATTTCAGCACAGGCTTCCTTTGGGAGCTTTTACTATGTGGCCTCCACATATTTCCTCAGACTCACTCTCTGCCACACGTGCCCAAAGTCATCATAGTTCTCCCCATCCATCATGCCACTTCATCCCACCACGTCTCTGCCCATGCTAGTGCCTAAACCTGGTATTGCCCTCCCTGTGCTGGCCATTTGGCAAAATCCTATTCATCTCTTGTCAGCTTGTTCGGTGTCAGCCCTTCCCTTCTTCCTATGATCCACTCCTGTACCTATTACATACATCTGTTATTATACTTAACATATGGGACAAAAGTTATCTATTTACATATCCTCCCACCAGCTGGGAGGTAAGGCCAGGACCAGTTCCTTTATGGCTTTGCATCCTCAACATCTCCTGACACAAAGGCTGGCATGCGGCCGGTACTTGACAGTACTTTGCTGAATTCAACTGATCTGCAGGCCTCCGCCTGTCCATTACTTGTCTTGCCATCTAAGATGAGCCGTCCAACAAAAATGAATAGAAGCATATATTATTTTTAAAAATAAAAGAGAGCTGCATACATCAGACAACCGATATACTGGGTCTTAACCAGACACAGCACATGGGCCTCTCAGGGACCTACTGAGACTTAGAGAGCGTACAGGGGGCTGTGCTCTGACATCGTCCCACCAACATCAGAGGTCTGCAACATCAGTCTGGAACAGTGTGCTGCAGGCAGCACTCCCTAACTATTACTAATTGAGAAATTCTTTTTCCTTCTTCATCTTTCACATGGGAAATGTTCTCTAAGTTCCAAAATAAAAATGACCAGGAGGAAGAAAAAAATATGCTTCCACCCTTTTTCACCTTGCTTAATCCAAGCCACCCTCCTCTCCACTTAAAAACAGAACTCCCATTCTCTCCTCCCATTCATACCTAGCTGCTCAGGCCTTACCCCAGTGTCTCATTTCCAAGTTGCCATGGCCACTAAGAGTTTGTACCACATAATTTAGTCAGTTACTGCCTTTCATAGTTATAATATCAAACACAGGAATAGGCACATAGCAGATATTAATAAAAACACGCTGATTGGTAGACAGATAAAAAGCCATAGAACATGTCCCCCAGTCACTCAGCAGTTTTTGCAAAACTGTCAAGAAAATATTTTTCTTTCTTTGCCACAACCCAAAGTTCTAAAAGAATAAATACTCCAGTAAGTTTAGAAAATTCATTCCAATGACTTTTAAAACTCCCCACAACTAGAAACAGCAATTCTCCAATGCATTCCTAGCCCTGCTAACTCCTTGCCTGTGTGGGGTTTTAACATACCTCTTGGCCAGCCAGAGTTTGGCTTTTGTACAAACAGTGATGTCAGTCAGCTCCTGCTGGAACTCTGAATTCGTTCTGTGTCTGGAGTCTGAGTAGGCTTGCAACAAATGAAAAACCTAAACCAAAAAGAGAAAAGCAGTATCGGACCATGAAAATATATTTTTCCTCAATGCTCAGTTCCTCCCTCTCAGGTTTCCTCAAAATAGTCCCTTCAGAGAAAACAAACAGCTATGCAGAACGTGGCTCTGGTCTTTTTACAGAAACGCATGTTAGTTTTGGAGCACACAGCAGTGGGTGAGAAACCTAGGTCCACAGTCCGTACCTGAGCTTGGGGCTCTTTGCACAATTCCAACACTTGGTGACTGTTCTGCAACCAAGCATTTGCTACAAGGGCTTACTAACGACACACAACCTATACAATGATTTAAGCAAAGCAGTTGCAAACATCTTTATGTCAGCAGTCTCACATGAAAATAAGATGTGCCTTTTAAAGTCAAAGTAGGAAAAATCAACCATCCAAGAGTCTAAATTAGTTTATACAAGTCTGGGTTCATCGGTACGCTGTTGGCACTAATGCCTGCCTTTGCAAATACTGGGCAGTGATATTTGTAACTATTTAGAGTCTTGAGCAGATTTGTCCTTAGCTGTCAGGAGCAGAGGGGGCACACTTTCTTACTTTTCCACAGCATTGTATCCTAGAATAAGTGCAGTAGTAGAAAGAAACAGAGCAAGTAAATCCTAGCTTTCTAGCTGTGTAGATTTAGACTGAAGACCACAGATTCAACTGTCAAGTGGCACACACTGTGTGAAAGGGTGTGTGTACACATGCAGCAATGATGCCCGCCAGGCGTCTGTGAGAACGAATCTGCAGTAGAGGGTGGGCGAGCAGAGGGTAGGGAAGAGATCCTTTGACCTTAGCTGGCCCTGAGGAGAGAGATGTGTGTGAGAGAAATCCTTGTCTCCAGCCCTCTTACCTAAATGAAGAGGAAGAGGTGGGTGGAGCAAAGTGAGCACAGATAAATACAGCAAGTCTGTTTTAATGACATTTGTTTTCTTTCCCTACTGTAGTCTTCACTCAAGCAGAGGATTCTTCCTACGTAACCAGATTCGATTTTGTTCTTCTCTTTCTCTCCCATCAACAAGGGGCTGGGCTCACAGCTGACAAACAATTGAGAGATGAGGAAGGGAGTCATGAGAAGCAATAAGAGAACACGCTACAGCTGAACCTCACGGGCGAGGTGGCACGTTTTCCTGGGTGGGACACGTGCAATCATCACACCAAACACATGTCAAACACCTTCTGTTTAGAGAACCCAAATGAATTCTGACTGCTTCTGTTTTTCTAAGCAGAAGTTAGCTGCATGGGAGAATGCAGGCTGGCAATGATCTCTCTAATAATGGACGTGTTATTCCAGAGCGGAGGATCAGATGTCACTCCTTCACCACACCCCGCAGGGACCCAAACCGCCCGGCACACAGTCTGGAGAACTGGGGCTGGCTGGGGCTTCTGTTCTTATGTGGTGACTGCCAGAGGGAAAAATACCTCCCTCGGCCTCAATCCCCACTGTCCTGAAAGAACTGGCAAAGTCACTGGGCCTTGCTTTCTTTTCTCCACAGCTGCACAAAACCAACCACCAGGGCTTTTCATGGTGTCACAGGATCGTAATTAATCAGCAGACACCAGCAAAATACATGACTCTGGAATGTACTTGTAAAGAAGGCTGTGAGATTTTCAAATGCTTTTTATTTAGAAGCGATCACTTCAAAAATAACTCCAGATGGCTGTTTAAACTTAGTCCTATATTTGCTCACCTTACCTGGCAAAAACAAGACTGTTTTTGAAATGCTTGGTAGCTCTGGCTTATGAAAATCAGTCTACAGGTCCATCCATTCTGTCACCTTGGCCACACACCAGATAATAACTGTGATCCCAGTTATTCACCAGGAACGGGGGGTGATCATTTATGTGGAACAAATGGAGAGACAGGTACACTCAGAGATCTTCGGTGGAAAAAAAAAAAAAAAAAAACACCAAGAGGAGACAGGGATGAGGGACAGGGTCCAAGAAGTCCAGGCAGAGAATGGGGCAGGGAAGGAGAGGGAGAAGTGAAGACGGAGGGAGGGGGAAGAAAGAAAAGTTTTGTAGGCAAATGTATGAAGCAGGCTAGTGTTTTGGAGGTATTTTTCTTTAAGACAGAAAGCTAATGAAAATATTTAAGTACACAACTATCCTCACATGACATTTAGAGTGTTGGGTTCAAGAAAAACAAGGCCATCCTTTGGGGTAAGGCCCGGGCACAGGGCCAGGGCCAGGCAGTTCCCAGGAAGGGTCACTTGTCCATCAGCTCTCAAAGTGTGGCAAGAGGCAGTCAGCTTCTCCTTCTTCCCTTCTTTTCTCAAGTTCTGCTCCAGGAGAACTTCTGAGCTGAGAAAGTAGCTGGGTCCAGGCCTGGGACCATTTGGAAACAGCCATCATGCTGGACTGTAGTGAACCAAGCACAGAGAAGCCAAAGCTGCCAGGCTGAGGAGGATTAACTGAATACACTCGGGATCTCTGAGGAGTGCAGTGTCATTTTAGTGGTCCCAAACTTGCAACAGGATTTAAACACTGAGTCAACAAATAGGCATTAAGCAACTGCCATCACCAGGCCCTGTGCTAGGCACTGCAGCAGAGACAAAGCAGTCCCTGGTCTTTTGCAGATGACATTCCAGTCCTGGAAAAATGGAAAGTCAATAGCTTCCCTGACTCAGCCTGCTGGCGATTCACAACCTACACGGTAAGGTCACCGTCACTTTCCCTTTTACGCTTGACCTCACCCTCCAACAAACCCTGTGCTGAGCAGAAACCCAACAAGCATTTGCCCAGTTGAATCCATGTTGATATTTGGTGCCTCTTTCTTTATTAACTCCTTCAGGACATACACCGTGGGTTCAGGAGCTGCACTGTTAGGTACCAACTTCTGTGTCTGGAGTGGAGACACAGAGCTCTTAACTCCAGGGGATTCCTCATCTGATGCAGGAAGCAGGAACACTAGATTAATGATAAGCACCCAGCCACACAGGAGAGTGCAGCCCTCAGCTTCTGTTACCACAATAAAATTCCTGAGGCAACTGACTTTATAAAGAGAAGAGGTTTATTTTAGTATATGTGCTGCCAAAGTGGGCACAGGAGGAGAGGTTTATTGAGCTCACAGTTTTGGAGGATCAAGTCCAAGATCAGGAGGCCCTGATGAGGGTGGTAGACAGCAATGGCAGAGCTGGTGCAGGGGAGAGATCACGCAGTGAGTCAGGAAGCAGAGGGAGCAGCTGGGCCAACTCCCAGTGACCTGGGGACCCCCTGCTAGGTCCACCTCCTAAACACCATCACTGTACCCTTTTAGGACCCCTAACTTATCATCCTGGGGTTTAAATGTCTAGCTCAGGAGCCAAAATCGTATTTAAGCTGGGGGGCAGGGTGGGGGAGGCAGGAAGCACTTTGGAACTAGGTAGACATAGTGTAGGCCAATTTCTAGCTATGGGGCTTTGGGCAACTTGTTGAGCCTATTTCCCTGTGGTAAATGGCATACACAGCAGCTCCCTATCCATGAGGGTATGTTCAAGCCCTTTGCAGGGGCCTGAAACCAAAGGATAGTACTAAACCTCATAATACTGGTATTTTTCTATACAGAAATACAGACCTATGACAAAGTTTAACTTATTAATTAGCTACAGTGAGAGATCAACAACAGTACCTGAAAACAAAATAGAAGGGCTGGTGCTGTGGCGTACTGGGTTAAGCTGCCACCTGTGATGCAGGCATCCCATATGGGCACCAGTTCACGTCCCCGCTGCTCCACTTTGCATCCAGCTCCCTGCTAAAGGCCTGGGAAAGCAGCAGAAGATGGTCCAAGTGCTTGGGTCCCTGCACCCATGTGGGAGACCCAGATGAAGCACTGGCTTCTGCCTGGCTCAGACCTAACTATTGTGGCCACTTGGGGAGTGAACCAGCAGATGGAATACCTCCCTCTCTCTTTCTCTTTCAAAATAAATATATAATTTTTAAAAAGGCAAATTATAATAATATATTATAACAAAAGTTATTTAAAACTTATGAAATGTTTATTCCTGGAATTTTTAATTTAATGTTTTTGTACCATGGTGAGTTCAGTGACTAAAACTGCTCATAAGGACAGACCACTGTAATAATATCTATCCTGCAGGATTACAGAGAGATTTTAAAGAGTCTCCATACTATTTGGCACACTGATAAATGGCACCTGACAAAATGTTGGTTTGCTTCTGTGTTCTGCCTGCTCCCTCCCTTCCAGTCCCATTCCAAAAATAAACAGAGGCGGCTTTGCAGAAAGACTGATATTCATATTTGGCCTTGAAAACAAATCTTACCATGATCCAGGAAAGAATATAGAAGCAGGGGAGACAGGAAAAAAGATTCTAAAGGGAACTAAAATATTGGGATTGCCAACAAAAAGAATGAACCTAATGTGAACTATGGACTTTCAGTCATGATGTGTCAATGGTGGTTCATTAACTGTAACAAATATACCAGGTAACTGGGGCCAGTGCTGTGGCACAGTGGGTTAAAGCCTCAACCTGCAGTGCCAGCATCCCATACGGGTGCCGTTTTGAGTTCCGGCTACTCCACCTCCAATCCAGCTCTCTGCTATGGCCTGGGAAAGCAGCAGAGGATGGCCCAAGTGCTTGGGCCTCTGTACCCATGTGGGAGACCTGGAAGAAGCTCCTGGCTTCTGGCTTCGGATCGGCTCAGCCCTGGCCACTGCAGCAATTTGGGGAGTGAACCAGTGGATGGAAGATCTCTCTATGTCTACTTCTCCCTGTAACTCTTTCAAATAAATAAAGTGAATCTTAAAAAAAAAATTAAAATAAACAAACGTACCAGGCAAATGCAAGACATTAATAGCAAAGAGGAAATTGGGAGGAGAGAAATATGTAAGAACTCTGTACTACCAGCTCCATTTTTCCATAAATCTGGGATTGTTCTAAAAATGTTGGTGCTGCTCAGGGGACCGCAGACAGCACAGCCAGGGTGCACACACAGTGCTGGGAGACACACTGGAGAGAGGGGTCAGCTCGAGACAGATCTGAAAGGCGATGTGAA